AGTCAGATTTATAAACATAATTTCAGTTGTTCCATTGGATGGCAACAAGCAAGGCTATAAAAATAATACAAATGGTTGAGACAAATGTGAAAGTACATCACGAATCAGACGGAAAAGATCTTCAGTAAAAAAAAACACATGGCCATGATGGAAATGTATTACCACTGTCTCGCAACATTTCGCATTTCAAAAACACTGACAGCCACTAAAATTAGATGTGCATTGAAATGAGCCTCGCATAACGTGATCCATGCTTTGCATCGATAACGCTCAGTATTTGCATTTGTCCCAAGCTTAATGATCTCTAACACTTGTCAAATTATTTGGTGATGCTGCTGCATTGGTCATGGTACACAGACACAAATAACAAAAAATACACCACACGTTCATCAATAGCACCACCTTATAAGAAAGTATATTTAATAGGCAACACTTTGGGCAATGGCCAAAGCATAGAATATGTGCCGTAGAGAAGGGTAATTTCCTAAATATTTAAAGCAGTTTTCTGATTAAAATGTTGAGTTTTTTTTCAAACACTTATCTATTTTTTTTGCATACCGTATACAGTGGTAATTGACCAAGAGGCAGTATTATCAAAGAAGAATACTTTTTGACCAAAGATTACAATTAAGGGACTACATTGGCAGCAATTGACACCACTGGTGGACCATAGTTGACGAACAGCACATTAACGGATACCTGCATTGTCAAACATCAATGATGTACCACGTTGCTTCCAGAACAAATAGAGTATTATACCAATACTTAAGCATGTTATAGGTTTCAGTTAATTTGTCATCATCAGTGACAGACAGCGGTGGTTTAGAGTGGCTAACCAGGAGAGAACTTCATCCGTTCTATCATAGCTGCACACCCCAAAGGCTCATTAATGAAAAGCACTGCAAGAATTGACGATTGTATTTCCCATAATTCCTCTTTTAAAATGTCGATAAAGCAGCGACTAGTAACAGGCTGTGGCACATTGGTTATCCCACTGCACCATGAAACTAGTGACCCGAGTTCAATTTCCGGTGAAGACGAACCAGTCTTGAGCCACCCACTTCACGAACCAGCATGGGCCAGAGTGGTGAAATATCGTCAAATAATCCCAGTGACCAATTGCTAGGGATGGCCTTAATTCGGCAGTGGTGTGAAAATGGCCTGCACATTTTTTTTTAGAACACTACATGCTATATAATGCTCTTGGTTCTTTCGGTAAAGTCACGTAGAAGGGAAATAATAAAATAATAAAAATAAAACATCATAAAATACAATTCTCACGACGTTTCGGCCACAACGCAAGCAGCCGTCCTCAGGTGAAGAACAGGTCTGTCGGAAAGACAGCGTCTGAATGCTATATAATGGTTTAGCTATTCTCTTTCGGATTTATATAGTGCCCTGACCAGGGCGCTTCACAATGCGTTTTCGTTGTGTATGTCCTTCATTGGAAAACATTATGGCAATAGTTGAAATTTATTTGCGTACAATACTTCATCAGTCTCCATAAGACGCGACATTTGACACTACACGATTCTCAAGTATAACTCAAACACTTCAGCCCGACCGCATTGTTTTTTTCTGCATATAAAGAAGATGCATCACCTTAAGCATTAGCTTGAAATATACGCACGGGGTTTCATTGACCAAGTCGGTGACCCACAAAATATTTCATCTCCCGGCACACCACATTCAGTATACATATCGCCATGGCTGTATGTACTAGTTACATACTGCCAACCCGCTCCAGTTTAGCAGTGACCCACAGCATAGTTCAGCGAGAAATGAATCCCGATATATACGTGCAAATATGTTCAATTATACCTACAATGCAGTTAGATAATTACTATGGTGATAAAGCATTTTCAAGCAAGGCAATGTTTGCCTGCGAGTCTGTGGAAATATCACTGGATGTACCATACAAGACCCACCATTGTGACCGATACTTAAAAGTCAATTTCACAAAACTTGATGCAAGAAAAAATATACATCGGGTCCTGTTCATCCATTAAATCCTTATTGTAAAATCTGCGCTATTCTTAGCCAATTAATTATTATCAATGTCTAACCAAAGAAAACTAAGGCGTCCATACAATTTGACTTTTAAATATCCCGACGACATGAATTGAATCGGTGACAAAGCCTTTGCCGTTGTAGCACAAACGGCGTGGAACCACCTTGTTTCCTCCCTTCGTGTATATCTTCTTTCAAAACAAATCCTGAAGCAGAATATTAAGTGCTGGATACAGCCACATTTGTAAATGTGACTTGTAACTTTTATCCGTACCTGTGTATCGATAGTTCGGTGTCAATGCGCCATTTTATTGAACGGATGGCTGCGTGTTATCTTGGTGTGGTCTGGGTCTTTTTTGTTGTTGTTGTTTTTGCTGCCTTGTCCAAGCTTGATACATGGATTTATAAAATGATGCTGTATTTATTTATTTAGTGACCCACCTACTTTTTTTTCTATTTTGCAATTTTTTTTTTATTGTTCGCTGTTGTAACTTGCTGACCCGCCCATACTGAGCATCTGTGAACAAAGAGCTTCACAGCTCATCGGATTCCTCCTCCAGCCTAAATAAAGATTCTGATCCACTCAATGAATAACATCAGCCAGGAAAATATGTGCAGGTCTGGTGTATAAAAGAAAACAGGACGCGAGATTGTGCTGCAATTGCGGTCTTATTTTTAGAACATTGCTGCTCGTGGGAGCGCAAGAGCAGAAGTCTGGCAGTGCGAGGGATTTAAATGGGTAAGATGGCCTAAACGGAGAATTATCTGCAGGGCGTTCATGTGCTTTGTGGTTATCCTCATCCACCCTAAATATAACTTGAGGCTCAGTAACTTCAGAGACAAGCTCCAACGCATATCCTGCTGTTCTGTATGCCACATTCAAGAGCGGGCTCATGCCTGCATGCCCCACAGCTGCAAAAACAACAGGTTCAGCAGGAATGAGACATCAACAACAACCCCCTACGTACATCGTCCCCCCACCCCCGCTCTGCTGCATATATTGACACGATGATTTGTGGACTGTACGTATGAACATAAACGTTTGAACGTGCGTTGGACGGCTCTTTTGTCAATCCACTGCCGAAAGAGGGCCCTCCCCATGCCTCGATGGGGGGTCATTTGACCATACTTCACCACACTTGTCAGTGAGGGCTTGGTGAAGGCAGGGAGCATCGATGTGGGAGCATAGGAGTACAGCATCGCATTGGAATGTTATGCACTGCTCTCTGTTGCACACCACCATGTCGCCCCTAAGCCCTAAATATACTTGTTTTATGAACGACGGTCATCCATACAACGTCCAGACTCAGTCGCCGCTTAGCTTTCAATTTATGTGTCATTGGCGCTAAATGCATATCTCGTTACGTAAGTACATGTAGCCCTCACACTACGTGTTAAGTGGGCTATATGCATACGCCCAAATGTTTAAATGATTACAATTCACAGCCCTTTGTCTACCCAACACTGGATACAGTCCTCCCCCACGACTTATCTGTCACGTGGATCTGTGTAGCCATACTTCGTCATACTGGTCAGTCTGGGTTTGTTGCCCCTGGGTGAGGTGGATGAGGAGGTGGGGGTTCACCCAGGACCAGTGCAGATATCACACGCCACCGATGTTAGCTGTGGCTGGACACTGGATGTTTTGGCATGGCGCGCTAACCATACCGCTCACCACTTCTCTACCCTAACCTGCACGCATCTCGTTATATGTTGCAACAAAAAACGTGCGGATGCACCATACATCCATTAGGCACTCCCCTGTTGATGCTTGCAGCAGGGAACTGCATCGCAGTGCACTTTAATAAGGTAAAGACGGAGAAGATGTCATTTTGTGCTGTGAAAGATGCCAGTTTTACGTGAACGTGGACATAGCCCATGGTCCATGCACGTCACTGCCACCTCCCCATGAAAAATAAATAAACTGCCAGCGTCTGTTTATCCGGGCTAACATCAGAAAACCACACATTTGCATTGATTAACATGAACCCAAGACCACAAACTCGACAAGCCAAATGAGCATTGAGGTGGTGCTCATCACCTGCTTACAGGCTTGAGTCAGTGGTGGAAATTCCTCATTCGTATGCCGGCAGACTTGAGCACAAATTGGTACTCGTTTTACCGACTCCCATCTAGGATTTGAACTCGTAACCTTTTGGATTGTGGGCCGTCGTTCTACCGATTACGATTTTAATAATTCGATCTAACGACTAAAAATGCCTCCCATACTTACACAAAACGTTTCTGTCCTAATATGTAACTGAGCATTTACAAGGAAGAATAACTAAAGGCGAAATGCAAATATGACCATGACCCACAGTTGTTACATTTACTTGTGTGCAAAAAAAATGTGCCAGGTCCACAATGAGGGGCAACTTCTTGTTTACCTTCACCACCACCCCCACACCACCCCCATTAAAAAAGAAAATGCCAGGCGTGGAATGTGGCCTGGGCACGTGCGTTGATCAGTGTCACGAGCGGTCAGGTGACCTCAGCTCTGACGCACGCCAATTTCACCTGGAATTCATCTTCTTGGTTCTATCGGTAAAGTCACGTAGAAGGGAAATAATAAAATAATAAAAATCAAACATAATAAAATAATTCTCACGACGCTTCGGCCACAACGCAAGCAGCCGTCCTCAGGTGAAGAACAGGTCTGTCGGGAAGACAGCGTCTGAATGAAACACTATGTCTGTCGGGAAGACAGCGTCTGAATGAAACACCACCAGGCGTCTGAATGAAACACCACCAGGCTTGGAGCGTATATTTACGCTCCAAGCCTGGTGGTGTTTCATTCAGACGCTGTCTTTCCAACAGACCTGTTCTTCACCTGAGGACGGCTGCTTGCGTTGTGGCCGAAACGTCGTGAGAATTATTTTATTATGTTTTATTTTTATTATTTTATTATTTCCCTTCTACGTGACTTTACCGAAAGAACCAAGAAGATGAATCCCTGCAGTCACGAAAGAAGCTTTAAATCGAAATTTCACCTGGAATGTTAATCGTGTAGCGCTTGTATTTGTCGATATCCGCCACATCGGCTTGATCTGTGGTCGCGTTCGCCTCGCTCGCGACGGCCGCCGTGGCGGGAGCATCACCAGTGTCCAGCAATCCGGCAGCTTTGAGAAGTTCTGGAGGCGTGTGAGCCCTCAGTGACGGCCTCTGTTCAAAGCACGGGCAGCAAACGGGCGCACGGAAAGCTCACGCTGGGTTTACGCAGGCCCTAGGGGGCCGTCCATAAATGACGTCACGCGATTTTTTGGACGATTTTTGACCCCCCCCCCCCTTCTCGTCACACAGCATCACAAAAAGTCAGAGCACATCTCAAATGACGTCACAGAGCTCTACCCCCCCCCCCACACAAAATAAAACATGCTTCAAATCGCTTTGAACTATTGTCATTGTAGTGCGTATTTAATGTGGCGCTGTAGGAAAAAACATGTATTAAAAAGTCAATTTAATTAAGTATTAAGTAGAACGTGTTGTCTATATTTGTTTAAAGTTGCGCATTTTGATGTGACGTTCACATTTCTCACCCCCCCCCCCTCATCACACATCGTCACAAACGTCTGACCCCCCCCAGCCCCTAGGTGCGTGACGTCATTTATGGACGGCCCCCCAAGGCTGACATTTCGCACGGAAATTAATTACATCAACGATTCCATTACTCGCGCTCAAAAATGTAATAGCGCAAATTCGCGATTGATGACTGCAAGTGTGTTCGCATTCCAATGTTTCTTAGCACCAATAGTTCAATGTGAAAATATCAATACATTATTCCCATTAAATGTATCAATATATTTATTTCCATCCATTTTAGACCACCATTCCTAAAATAGTAAACGTCGAAGTGTTATTCTTTAAATGTCTTGTCTCCTTGCATAATTGGAGGGTTATTTAAGAGTGGAGGGTTATTTAAGAGTGATGTGTCCTGCATGAACGATAGGTCACATTTTTTTCCCTCCATCGTCGAGCGGAACATCCACTAAAACACTGTCACTGTGTCTAATGATGTTTTAATTTTTAAAAGCCTGGGCGATAGTCTCATATTTCAGCAAATGTTTGGGCAAGATGAGCAAGTCTGTTTTTTTTTTAAAGCCTTCAATTGACTTTGATTTAGTTTGGCAATGAGAAACATTGCCACTCTTCATTGCCACTGCAACAAAGAGAGTCTTGCAGCGCTTCGGTCGTGTCGGTGTTAGCTTCCAGAAAGCACTTCCCCCGGAACCATTTGAACCGTGGAACAGGCTTTGTTCGGTGACTTCCAAACACTTTTCCACCCTCGCTCGGAGTGGAAGCTTCTCGACGAGTTCCCAAACGTGTCCTCAAGTGACCTCACGGATTGGCACTGTCCAGCTCGGCTGCCCACAGGGAGGCTTTCATGCACGGCCCCTCCGATGTGTGCTGTGAGCTTGTTTGGGAACGAAACGACCGTCACGTGAACGGAACGCAGGAACTGAAGAAGCGCCCAGAACACGGAGCATTTCACCGCGTTCCAACCCGAAAACACCTCGGAGGAATGTTTAATTTGTTTGCATTTCACAACACGGCGTTCGAGTCGTTCTATTACCTAGATACGTAGTCAGAGAGGTTGTCAAAAAAACGCACGCAACATAAACTTAATATAGTACTTTAACAAAAAGCACATCAGGGAGAAATTCAAAGTAACAGGAGTTGTGTGCAATCAAAGTAAGTGTGCAAAAACCAACCCTTTTACACAAAAAAACACAGATTTACGTCAATAAGCACATACTTTCCCATGCTATGAGTCTCTTGTTCCGAAAATAACATTGATCTTTGGGGAATTACGTGTCCATGTTTTGGTAATGTTAACGGTCATTTTCAAGTTAAAATTCACATGTACATTTTACAAAAACAAACATTTTAACGTTACTTTTGGAATATTTCCCAATGTTATAATTGGATGTGAGAGTGGCCCACGCACGCTTTCGTGTCTTTCAAGCGCGCAAACTCTCCACTAGCATCGTTGCAGATTAACGCGGCAACTTTTTACAAGAGATCTTCATCAAATACACCATCAGCCATGATCAATTTACTGCTGGATGACATCGTCCCCCAAGCTGCCGCCACCTCTCGCTACTTGTTGTGTTTCGTTCGTTGTCCTCCCCCCGCACCTCCGATTAGCACGGCTGTCTACGTACGGTGCGAAAGAAGTTCAACACGCAGTACGTAACAAATCCACTCGGCGCCGACTGCACTCGAGTCGATTCCATCGCTCCATCGCCACGGTGTGGGCGTCGCGTCTCATCATCGAGCTATGAACGTAACGTCTATATATTGTTAATTAAATTTGCCTGGCAACACACGCAAAACACACACAAGCCTAGCAAGCGCATTGCACTAACAGCCAAACGACGCGCTCCGTCGAACTCGATCATTTATTTTACGCGTGAAAAGTGCTCGCAAGTAATGTGGCATGTCCAATAAGGGCACACGATGTGAGAGCAAGTGCACGCCACCACCAAACAGAGCCGCCCCCCCCCCTACGCTATAACGATGAAAAGAATACATTATGCATCGGTGGGAAGAAATTTAAAAAAAACACATTTGCATTGACAAACGTGCGCAAATAAGGTCGATGCAAACCTAACCGTAATTAATGCACGCTAATGACAGTCGCTCCGTTCTATTGTGGAGTGTGCACCGTGCATTCACAAACTCCTATGACATGATCCGCGAGACCCTTTCAAAGTGAACAAGCACGGCCTCTGAAACTGCACAAAGGCACTTGTACATCAAACACCATGTTAATATGTCAATTACACGGCGTTCGACCGATTCAATTCATCTCTTGAGTGATTCCATTCGTTTGCGTTGTAGTTATTCACAAAGGTACTACTGCACGCGATTAATTATACACCGCAGCAATACATTGCGCTTCAGATGATCGTAAGGGCGCAATGCGCAGTTTACTTTTACACTGCGATTAAGATGATCGGAAGGGCACAAATGCGCAGTTTACTTTTACACTGCGATTACGATGATCGGAAGGACGCAAATCCGCAGTTTACTTTTACATTGCGATTACGATGATCAGAAGGGCGCAAATGCGCAGTTTACTTTTACAGCTGTTCGGGATGACAATCGCCAATAGGCAGAGTTGTACAACAAGGTGTATACGGTGTACAGATTGTGTAAACAGCAGCAGCAAGAGATACAAACAGAGAGCTTCTTACTTTTTTCAGACTGGCGTTGTTGTTCTTTTCCTGCGCTTCACGCTTCGATTTCCTCTTGCTATTCGCGGTTCCCATGCTGTTGGCTTTTTGTTTCAAAGCGAGCCTTTTTTTTTAGTCTCCTTTAAAAAAAATGTTTTTACAATTTTAAACTTTCTTGCCTGCCAACCAACAACCCCGGAGCAGCAGTCGCGTTTCAAGTGTGCCACGACACCGTCGGCCGGACAGAGGTGGAAATGGGCACAAAATCCAAGCGGCGTCGAAAACTTAAAAGTTTTTTTTTGAAAACTCGGCTCAGCTTCGGCCCAACCGTGATGAGACGACGAACGGACGGCAAGAATCGCGGATCATTTCTCGGCAGAAGTTGTTTTCAGAGCTGCGGGGGCACGGACTAAATAACCAATCGCTGGAATGCTCCTCCCTTATCCACCCCCCACCACCACCTCCTGTTACCTGCACTACAGGCCGTGACTTGTCAATGAGGACCCATCTAAGTTGGCCACGCAGCCAGCCCCGGTGGCCGGTTCTCTCTCCGCCCGAACCAGTTTTGTGCAGTGTTGACAGATTGATGGCCGCGTCAGCCCGGTCGTGTCTACGCGTTGCATTGTTTGACCCCAAGCACGCCCGTCTGTGATCGACTCAGATCCTGTCTGTTGCTCGCATTCACAAGATTGTATCGTTGTGCACTGACATCACGTGCAAAACAAATCTCACATTTTAACTTGGTAAAAAAAAACACACACACACGAATCTACAATATTAAAAAAGGAAATCCTACTTTGGAAAATAAACATAGGCGGAGAAAAATGTTAACCATCTATGATTTGCTGATGGGGGTAGTCTTTATAATAACCGATGGAAATTAACGGAAATAAATAATTGGAGAATTTACTGTAACAAAAAAATAATGCTGCAAAGTTGGGCTCAAGATTAATATTGTACTGTATAAGCAAATTGAAAGGTGCGAACGAAAATGGGCAGAGGAAAATATGTGGCATCGACGCTACTGGAAAACAGCAAGGTATGTATACCCTCTGAGAATTATTGAAATCAGATCAGAATAACAGTGGTGAATTAAAGATTCGAGCAATAGCAAGTTGTAGTGCTTTTGGAAAATTCGATCATGAAAAGCAACGTATCCATGTGCCTGTAGGTAAATGTTTTCAGTCAGTGCACAATACCTCCTATGATATCCGAATTGTAAGCACGGCCACCCGAAATTTAATGATAAAACAGCTGAAAATTGCACGAAAGAAGCAAAGAGCTGTGCATTGTTTGGAATTACACTGAGATACAGAAAGAGATGCGTGGCTCAGAGTACAAATTCATATCAGATATATGGAATGGCAGCAAAAAGGAGTTAACATGCTCCAGAGGAAGCCCACCGAGGAGATGGAGAAATGAGATCACCTTAAATGCAGGTGTAACGATAGACTATCAATGGAACTGTGAGGAATGGTGAAGACGTGAGGAGGCCTTCATCCAGCAGTGGACGACTCGTGGTTTATAGCAAGGGAGGTACAATAATGTGACCTGTACCTTTGCATTTTCCGTCACTGTGGGCCTCTCCTACACTGTATTTTAAGAGGCCCTAATGTGGTTGGAATTATGGATTGATTTCGATATATGCATTCCAAACAATAACATACTTCAGAAATAGCCGCTTTATATATATTTTTTTGGCGCAAGTATGAACCTACCCATCATAGCGCCGTTTCCTTCATGTGTTGTCAATGGTGGGACATTGTGTACAGCGACCTTCATGCCCTTCCGTAATTAAGATCCAGCCCAGAGTGAATTGTCTTTTTAGCCGTCAATTGCCCAGAAATAGGCTAAGCATAGGTGAGTGCATAAACGGGGCTGCATGTTCCAGTTAATTAGGTGTAATTTAATAACGCTGCCACGGTCAAATTATGGCTGAACATTTTATGTGTATCCACGGAGACGACGGAAAACACAAATTTAATTAGTTGAATGTACACATCGGGGGAGGAACAGGCGCTGCCGCCGTGTAAATTATTAGCACACTAGACTTGCGATCAAGATATCGACTTGGACATCGGTTCGATCTCCCAGCGTGGCAGTATAAACAATGGTGAAATTGTCTTAACCCCCCCTCCCCGCTCGCCTCTGTCCACATACATTAGCAGTGTAAACAGGTAACACCGCAGGTCGATCCGTGCTGTTACGCGTCAGTGCTGCCACCTTTTCCGAAATATATCCGGCCACTGTTACAAAGAGTCGGCTCCCTCTAGTGGAGGGCCTTCTGCTCGCGATCGCACGAGGAAGCAATTGCAGGGCTGCAACTTTGCTATTTGTTCCATTACCATTAAGGGAGGATGGATACGAAACACCCTTTGTAAGCAAAGGCACATTTACAATGACGTCACCATGCCACTGCTGAACAATAAAAAAACATCTGTTCAATTACCTTGAGCATTGAATGCAAATGTTTGTCCATAATGCGTCAGTCACCCTTGCATACAGCTCTCCAGCAGAGCCCGAACAGGCTAACTGTGCCACTGGCTTTCAATTACAGTGTTACAAGACAATTTAATACATTTAATTTAACAATCAATATGCACTTTGTGGGTGTGACGTAAACCAAACAACATCAATTAATAACAATTATTGTTTCATGAAAGGATATTTAATGGCCAAAAAAATATATTCCACGCCTCGAAGTGAACGATAATTAGCTTAACTGTGGTTATTATGGTGCTTGTTAATGCCCAGCTGTTAAATATATTTATTACACAACCATACATTTGCCCTTGTTGAGATAGCGCGATTCAATGTATAGATTAATGAGGTGGGGTACAAAGCTGCGTTGTACGCAATTTACTCGAGCCGATGGGTTCAGCAATCTACAATTAACAGGTGAACACATTCTTGCGGAGGGAGCTGGTAGGAACGTTGGGTTGCTCGGTCAATGGCCAGGGTCAACGGCGGCGTGGTGTATTCCGCAAATTTGCCCGACTGTGAGGGCGGGCACAAGCCGGCGTGAGTAGGTTAAACGTTGAGTTTTATAAGGACACCACGGGGTGACCAGCCCCTCCCCACTCAGCCTCACCCTCCCCAACCAGCCCCTCCCTCCCCCCACCCAGCCCCTCCCTCCCCACCCAGCCCCTCCCCACCCAGCCCCACCCCTCCACCCCTCACCCAGCCCCACCCTCCCCACCCAGCCCCTCCCCACCCTCCCCACCCTCCCCACCCAGCCCCTCCCCACCCTCCCCTCTCCACCCAGCCCCACCTCTCCCATTTTTGGATTCACGACGGACGGACACAATAATCCCCTGTGGGCTGGTGGAACCAGGTGGTTCCTACCAGTAAAATATGATGGCCGTAACTCACTCCACTGCTGGCAGAAGGGTCTCCACTAGACGGCGCTCCAGAGAAATCCATTTAGAGGGTACTTAGGTCTACTCTTCCACACTGGCCAGATGTCTTGCAAGAGGTGGTGGTGGGGAGGGGGATATCCAAACTTCATCCCACCTTTGGTGTAGTTATGTATTCTATTGCGTGAATAGACAGAGGTGGGCAAATTATAATAAAATACATGCCCGTTGTTTAAATGGGAGATCCCATTGGCGACCTCTAGACTGCAACTCTAGTGTGCTAAACCATTGCACCACGGTAGCATCACACACACACATATCAGTAAATCACAAATGCAGGATGATAAAAACGTTTGTTTATCGAGTGAGACACCTAAAACAACGGAGAACACACAAAGCACCTCGCGCATAGGGGCCAAAATCGTCCATAAATGACGTCACGCGATTTTGGACGATTTTTGACCCCCCCCCCCCCTCGTCACAAAAAGTCAGACCGCCCTCAAATATGACGTCACAAAGCTCTGCCCCCCCCCCCAAACCATACTTCAATTTTGAAAATAAAACATGCTTCATATCGCTTTAAACTATTGTCATTGTAGTGCGTATTTAATGTGGCACTGCACTCTGATGTTGTAGGAGTGTTGTTATAACAATTAGTGTTGTTATAACAATTCTATATTTATTTAAAGTTGCGCATTTTGAAGTGACGTCACATTTCTCACACCCCCCCTCCCTCGTCACACATCGTCACAAATGTCTGACCCCCCCCCCCCCCTCAGGTGCGTGACGTCATTTATGGACGGCCCCATAGCAACACACTCACAAGATATATCGGTGCTGGCAGGGCTTTTGGAGCAGCGTCCAATGAGTTATGTACCATGTTGTATAGGTGGCTCTTCAGTTAGAAATGAATAATTGCAATTGCATTTTAGCGTTTTGACCGAAATTATATGCACTTTGCATGTGCACATTACACATGGCTTAACGGTGATGCAATCGTTATATTTGCAGTCTGCACATAAATGGTGTATAGCCTATCTCGCAAGCTAAGCAAAGTTGAGCCTGGATAGTGTTCTGATGGTTGGGTTGATTTCCATGACACAAAGACTGGTGCAGGAAGCGGCGTGGCCATTCGAGGGCAGTGCTGCAAAATCCTTTGCGGTTGTGTGATCCCCTCGACTTCACCAAACCGCACTTGCCAGTGTCAAGTATGGTCAAATAGCCCTCGACACAGTAGGTATGCAACGTTGGGCCAAAGGTACCAAGCATTGAGTAGGTACGCAAAAATCTGTCGAAACTTGACCCCTCCCCACCCTCCCTGTACGCACGCGCACGTTTTACCCCCCTCCCCACCTGTGTACGTACGCCTGACCCCCCCCCCCCCCTCCTCGAATCCTATAGAACGGCCGATATTTAATCCACGCAGAAACGATCAAGGATTAATAATATAAACATGTTGAAGCAAACGGATAGTCCACCGCCGGCTGCATTAAGAATTAAAATGCGTACCTTTAAAAATTGTGTCTAGTGCCTCTAGTGGCTATCGGGATCAATTTAACTCCTGACTAAACAAAAAACAAGTAATTGTTTTATTTAGGCCATTGGTAAGGCTATATAGGTGTTTTGCAGAAGCGACCTGGACACCAATGATAGCTCAATCAAGTGGCTTATCGTGTGGAAATTCACAGCAGCTAAATACTGCAAAGGCATGTTTATAAATGTGGAGGGGGAAACCGGAGGACCTGGGAAGAGAGACACACAAACTCCAAACATACAGGCATTAAGGTGATGATAGAACCCACCACCACCTGTATTCTCTGCGAAGTAATTAACATCTCGCCACCAAAGATTTATGAGCTTTAAGAGTCGATGTTAGTCGATGGATCGATACATTCGTTGTACCGCTGTTTTTTAATGTAAGCTTTTTAATGTATCACATGCAAGTCCCATGGGGCAGTGCATAAACAAAAATTGAGAACAATACATCTATGCTTCCACGCCTATGCTCCCAATCTTCACCAACCCATACTGACTTGTG